TTTTAAAAAATCCAGTCCTCTTACGATGGATAGCACAGTTGAGGGCAGGAATCCTAATGTTCATTGAGTACTTACAAAGTGCCAGACACTATGAAGGCCTCTTTTAGATAAGCACTCACATTAAATATTATGATCCTGGAAATAGATCCAAATATTCCAATTTTTAAGATAAGGAAAAAAACCAACTGCCGTGGCTCATACCCATAACTGCAGCATTTTGGAAGACTGAGGTGGGAAGATTGCTTGAGACCAGGAGTTTGAGACCAGCTTGGACAACATAGCAAGACCCTATCTCTATAAAAAAAAAATTAAAAACTTAGCCAGGCAAGGTGGTGTGTGTCTATAGTCCCAGATACTTGGGAGGCTTAGAGGAGAGAATCACTTGAGCCTGGGAATTTGAGGCTGCAGTGAGTTGAGATCGTGCACTGCACTCCAGCTTGAGTGACAGAGCAAGACCCTGTATAAAATAAAAAATAAAATAAAATAAAGTAAAATGAACAGGTTTTCCAAGAGGTGAAGAAAGGTGTTTAAGGTCACATAGACAATTGGTAGCACAGTCATGATTTGGATCCAGGCTTGCTTGATTCCAAATCCATGCTTTTTTGTACCAAAGGGGAATGCCAAGTCATGAGCAGCCTCGATTCCTGACTGTGCTTCCCATTAGAGGGTAGCCCGGGGTCTCTTGCGATCTCACTCAAGCCGTCTTATTCTCAAGGGAGAGTAAGGGAGCGGCCTTGGTGCACATGGGCTGGAGAGCAGATGGTTCCGGAAAAGTCAAGCTTATGACAATGAACTTCTGCTTGACTTTCTTCCTGGACTAGGACCCAGCAGATGCCCAGTGAAGGCAGAAGGGGGTTTTCCTGGTTCTCTCACTTAGTAGCTTCTAAGAAAGATTTGCTTTCCTTTCTTTGGAAGTGGAACCAAGAATGTGCCTTTCCAGTTTTTGATAAACTTCGAGAAACCAGCACTTACCTGTTTTTATTCAGCTCAGAGTGGCTGCAGGCCAGAGTCAAGTAAACAACTGCTTGCCTGGTGGCTCCTAACCACCTGGGGACCAGCATTTAAATCTCAGAGAATATCTGCCCTCTGTTGAGCTGCACAGAGCAGATCAGGATGCTGTCTGCTTTTTGAGGGAGAGAATTTCCTAGGGAAGAAGGTGTTGTGCTTTTGGGGGTCATCCCCACCTGATTTGCCTGTTATTCACATTCTCAGAGAAACCAGGAACTGCATTTTATAGGGGCGAGCTCAGAGGAGATCAACGGCTGACTTGAATCCCTTCTGCTTGCCCCAGGCTCTAAAAAAAATGTATCATTTGGGCGGAAGAGGAGTGAACCAGGGGGCCATTCCTGCAATGGTTCTCATTGGAATTTCTTATTTGAATTCGTGAAAACTTACTCCACGGTGTACTCTATCTTGAGGCTAGGCGACATCCCAAGAATCCCTTTTGTGTTGAAATGCTCACAGTTTAACCCAGGGTCTGGTACCTCGGCGGTGCTCAGTATGTGAATATTGAGTGAATGAATGAATGAATGAACAACATCTCAGACTCTGGCAACTGAGGATGGTCTGGTAACAAGGAGCTGATAGTGATGCCTGGTGATACTGTCATCCAAAGCTGAGATGATTTGTGAAAGGAGGGACCCTGAGAAACTTAGAATAAACTTAGTTCACATTTTGCCTCAGCATAACCATTTTTGCTTAGGCTGACACGCTTTGAGTCTAGCACAGGTTAGATATAGATAAATTTCTAATAGGTAGGTTTTAGGTAGCACTCAGACATTTTACTGCAGGCCAAGCTAACAGCCTATCCCACCCCCTAGGCAACTCTATCAGCCCAACTTTTCAGTTCATGGTTTAGCTTGATAATCTCTGAAAACCTAGGTTTCTATAGAAACCCAGAATAAACTTAGTTTAGCATTGTCTTTTTGCCTCAGCATAACCATTTTTGCTTAGACTTTACCCCTGACATGCTTTGAATCTAGCACAGGTTAGACATAGATAAGATAAATTTCCAACAGGCAGGGTTTTAAGAAGCGTTCAGGCATTTTACTGCAGGCCAAGCTGGCAGCCTACTCCACCCCTTCGGAAAATCTCCATCAGATGCAAGACCAGGACAGCCCAAGAGCCCAACCTTTCAACTCAGAGTTTAGCATAATAATCTCTAGGAAACTTCTCAGGTTCCTTGTCCAGGGGAAAGATCAAAGATCACTCTTTAGCTGGCTGAAGCCATAGAAATGATAATAAGATCACTTTTTTGCTAAGGAGTTTGTGGATTGCAAACTACTGACAAAGTCTCTTGCAGGAAAACCCCCTCCCCTTGTCTCCTCCCATCTAGCCCACCACCATGGCAGCAATCATGTGATTAACCCATCCATCTGCCTGCTGTCCATCACCTGATGTGAGTACCTGTGCTTACCTTCCCCTTCATGATGATATGGAACAGACCACCACCCAATCACCTTAATGACCTTCCCCCATCAAAGGGAAAGGTTAAAAGTATTCAACCACAAGCAGCATTTTACCATTGCCAGGCCATTGTGGCCATTGCCTTACTAGACTCTGGTGTGGCCATGTGATCTTTGAGCTATGGCTGTGGCCATGTTTCCTGGCTTTGGTCCTCTTCCCTGCCTTGGGGAGGTGAATCTCCTCTTTCTTTCTCTCTCGCTCTCTAATTTGCCTTTTAAATAAACTATATTTTCCAATCTAACTTCTGTGCAATTCTTTGCATCTTTCATGCGGCATCAGATTGCACGCCAGACACCCACACCCTCAGTGGACCTGACCTAACATTCTGGAGGCCTCGCTGGGAGAGTGGGATGCTAACATTTTTGGAGGTTCCACTGAGATGTGATCTAACAACCTCTAAGAAACTTTCAGGTCCCGTAGGTGGCCAAAGCCCTAGAAATGATAATAAGACCACTTTTTTGCTAAGAAGATTGTTGGTTGAAAACTTCTGACTGGTCTCTTGAAGGACAAACCTCTCCCCTTGTCTCCTCCCATCTAAGCCCACCACCACGGCAGTAATCATGTGACTAACCCACCCATCTGCCTGCTGTTCCATTAGCTGAGGTCAGTACCCCTTCGTGATGATGTAGAGCAGACCGCTACCCAACCCTTAATGTGCTTCCCCCATCAAAGGGAAGGGTTAAAAGAACTCAACCACAAGCAACCATTTGCCATTGCCAGGCCATTGCGGCCACTGCTAAGCCATTGTGGCCATTGCCTTGCTAAGCCATGGTGTGGCCATGTGCTCTGTGAGTTATGGCCAGGCCATGTTTCCTGGCTTTGGCCCCCTCCCCTACCTCTTTTTCTCTTTCTCTTTCTAAATTACCTATATTTTCTAATCTAACTTCTGTGCAATTCTTTGCATCTTTTGTGTGACATCAGATCACACCCCAGACACTCACACCCCCAGCAGGCCTGACCTAATATTCTGGAGGCCCTGCTGGGAGTGTGATCCTAACATTTCGGAAGAGGGGACAGGTGATGTTGGTAATACCTGGTGTTTTATGTGTGGCTCCTGCTAATTTATACTTTTCTGTAGTGGCAAATTTTGAGAAAAGTGCCCTGGCCTGTGTGCACCCCTCATATCTGCTAATGACTCAGGCATCTGGGCTAGGTGCTTGCCAGGGTGGGTGGTGCTTGGGATAGAAGACAGTTTGGGAAATGATCTCTGGTGGAGGATGCAGACACCAAGAGGCTTTTATCATAAAAGTCATCCTTTGGCTATAGTTTCTGTCCCATCCCCAACCCCACAACTTTACCTGCTTCAAGGTGACACAAATAGTTTGAGTACTTCATGGGTTGGTTAGAACCCTGCCCACGGGCAAGTTTCTCAACCTCTAGAAGTGTCTTCTTCCTTATCTAAACAAGGGGAGGGTACTAGCACTCTGCCCTGGTGTTGCTGGAATACCCATGTCTGGCACAGAGAAAGCACTCATTAGACACAGGGAGTCGTGTGGGGCTCTCTTGTCCAGATTCAGGCCCAATGCTGAAGCCAGAAGACCTGAGCTAAATTAGCTGGCCCACCAAGTACTGGAAGCAATGCGGAACTCAGTTACAAAGCAATTCACAGCATCTCTCTGTGCGGGAAATCAAAGGGCCTCCAAGACACAGTCACCGCCAGCACAGGTTTTGATTTGATGCAGAAACCTAGAAAATGGTTTTCTCTTGTCCCAAGGTCTCCCTGTATCCCCTTTGTGATTCACAGGGAAGCGGGTCAGCACGACCCCACAGACAACATATTTTTGGCCTGGTTATTCAGATTAGCACCTTCTATGGCCACGTGAACTACCGTATTCTCTTCATCTCATTCTAAGCAGACACAGCCTTTTCCCTTTTAGCTGCCAGGAAACATTTCCAATCAGAATGCCATGTCATCTTCTAAAGGAACAATACAGTGAAGGCCAGATGTGGTAGCTCATGCCTGTAATTCCAGCATTTTGGGAGGCTGAAGTGGGAGGATTACTGGAGCCCAGGAATTCGAAACCAGCCCAGGCAACATAGCAAGACCATTTTTTTACCAAAAAAAAATAAAGTAAAACATTAGCCTGATGTGGTGGTGCGTTTCTGTAGTCTCAGCTACACGGGAGGTTGAGATGAGAGGATCACTGGAGACCAGGGGGTCAAGACCACAGTGAGCCATGATTGTGCCACTGCTCTCCAGCTTGGGTGCAGAGTGAGACCCCTGACCCCCCCCCAAAAGAAAAGAAAATAACACAGTGAAACTCAAGGCAGTCGTCATTCTGAATGAAAACAACACACATAGAGAGACAATCTCAGAACTGTGAAAACAAAAAATCCACCTACACCCTTCAGCCCCTGCCATCCAATCCTACAGGTTTCTGTGCCCATGTGTCTAGCATTTGTTAAAAATATTGCCAGAGTCAGTGGCATGTGACTGGGTAGGATGTGAATTTCTATATCGTCTCCTAAAACAAAACACAGCATGTTTACAATGAAGAATGTATGGATGGATTAAATCACATGTGAACACTTACCTGTTTGGGCCACTGAGCTTCTGAATGATGAATAAGTAAGAGCCGATGGGTAGGTGACACCCTTTTTGGGTTTACTCTCTGCAAAAAAGAAGAAAAAGAGAGATTTATTTCTAGAGCTAGAGGTGTTAGATGGATCTGTACTGATATGCTGCTTCCTTCTTTCCAATTTTTCTCTCTTGAGTTTTATTATCAGTCTGTTTCCCTCACGCTGCAATGTTGATTATTTTGAGAACGTCAGGTGGTGTTTTTGTTTTCCCATCTAGCCTGTGGTATTAATATTAGGAAGGGAGTAATCCTGTCTCCATGACTCAGAGGTGTCTATCATTAGCAGCCTGTCTTTCACTCACAAGGATATAACATGGAAGCAAAGGTCTTCCTTCACCCACACAGCTTTGAATGTTTACTTATTTCAGCAGATGAATGTGAAGCATTCTACCTGCTCTCCTTGTGGACGATGGAATATTACACAGCCATAAAGAAGGACAAAATTATAAACTTCACAGCAACTTGGATGGACTTAGAGGCTATAATACTGAGTGATCTATTACAGAAACAAAGAACCGAGTGTCATGTTCTCACTTATAAGTGGACCATGAACAACTATAGTAAGACTATAAGAAAAGGATTTGCAATAGTGGGAAACTGCCAGGGGAGGGGGGAGCCCACCTCATCAACAAGGGTACCTGCATAATGAATATTTGTATACCTAACCCTGGATTGTACCCCACATATTTAAAATAGAAATAAAAAAAAAACGAAAATTCAGATTTCACCAGTGCCCCCAAAAAAGAAGAAAAGAAGCATGTATTTTGTATTGTCCAGGGAGAAACACTATAGACGCCAGGCAAGGAATAGGAGCAATGTCTATCAGGGAAACCCTGGAGGCTTAAGAAGAAAGTGATCAGGTGATTAGGCAGGTCTGCAGCCATCCAGCCGGCATGACTGAAAATTGCCCGAGAAGGCTTTCCTGCCTTCCAAGCGTGAAGTGATGCCTACAGTTCCACCATCTGAGATTTCTTCCACAATTAAACCAAAAGTACCTCTGAGATACAGAAAGCCCCCTGAAGGCAAGTAATTTGTCTGACTTGGTGACTTGAATTTCCAGAGCTGAAAGCAGTTCTTTTCTGGCATGTAGCAGATGCTCAAGGAATATTTATTCAGTGGCGGAGTATCTTAAGACCTAGAGATCTGTTACAATTCAAATATCCTTGGGAAGGGTATTACCTGCTATCCAATGTTTACATCTAGCAGGGAAGGCATTTCAGCTCTCAACCTGAGGGTATGCTTTTAGGAGAGGGGGATTGTAAGGAACCCGTGAGGGGTGTTGACAGAGAGCTTGAGTGGGTGCGAGAATATCTCATGTACAACCTTGCCAAAGATCCCACTGGCACGAGGGTCAGGAGGCAGGAGACTGGGATCTGAGGAAGGACCTGGGAGTGGAAGTATGGCTAGCTAGGTCTCTTTTACCTTTAACTGCCTCAATCTTTGAGGCTCTTGTTCTTTTCATTCAGAAAATATGAATCAGCCAGGCTTGGTGGCTCAGCCTGTAATCCCAGCACTTTGGGAGGCTGAGGTGAGTGGATTGCCTGAGCCCGCGGGTTCGAGACCCACCTGGGCAACTTGGTGAGATCTCATCTCTGCAATAAATAAAAAATTAGCCAGACGTGATAGCACACACCTGTAGTTCTGGCTACTTGGAAGGCTGAGGCGGAAGGATTGCCAGGGTCCAGCAGGTTGAGGCTGCAGTGGCCGGGAGCGTGCCACTGCCCTCCAGCCTGGGCAACAGAGTGAGACTCCAATTCCAAAAAAAAAAAAGAAAGAAAATGTGAATCACGAAAGGGCCCTACTTACTACACAAATTTGTTAAGATGGAAAAAAACATTAAAATGTTTTAGAACCATATATCTCCATAGAGATGCAAAAATTTATCCTGGTGTTACCGTAAAATCCACTAAAAATGTGAATGAGCAACATATTTGGGCTCACTTGTGTGACTTCCCTTGTTAAAATCACCTGGGGAACAGTTCTTGACTTTTACAAGTCTCCGCCCATGTCCAGGCTTGACCCACATCCACGGTGACCAAGGTTATATCAGTTTCCAGCAGAGCCCCGTGGCTGTGGCCACACAATATTGACAGAAAGCAAGATAGAAACATTATCTCTTTTGCCTGTTCTCACATCTAAAACCACATGGTTCTCTGTTTCTATTCAGAAGGAAAAGGCATATGAGCTGTTTCCTGAAATGTGGATCAAAGAATAAGCCAGCAGTATGAGAGGGTGCCTCACTGACCAAGATTATGCTGACCAAAAGGACACATCCCCATGCCCCCCAGCCCACCAAAGTGAATTAACTAAAGGAGCAGAGGTAGGAGGATGATTTAAGGCCAGGAATTCAACACCAGCCTGGACAACACAGTAAGACCCCATCTCTACAAAAAGTAGAAAAAAATAAAAATTAGCTGGGCATCATGTTGCACACCTGTAGTCCCAGCTACTTGGGAGGCCGAGGTGCAAGGAGCAATTGAACCCAGGAGTTGGAGGCTGCAGTGAGCTATGATGGTGCCACTGTGCTCTAGGTTGAGTGACAGAGTGAGGCCCTGTCTCTAAAATAAATAAATAAATGAATGAATAAATAAAGGAGCCCTGGTATGTGTGAAAATTGGAAAGAGAAATCCAGAGAGGCGTCTGAGACTTTAGAAGAGGATTCTGACACTATCCAGTTAAGCCTGTTGACTGCAACCTTCTGAACGATGGGGAGTGTTTCTTGGCCCACAGTCATGGACAGCCATCCTCAAGCTGCAGTGCGCTTTCCTGGCTCATCCATTCGAAAGAGGCTTCCTCGCCATTGCAAAAGCACACATGTTGATTATCCTCAGCTAAAAGTATTTGCAGTTAAATGCTATTAGGTGGAATGAGGGGAGAGGAACGTTGAGATTTACAGGGAATAATCTCAGCCAATTGATTTCCATTAAAAATTACCCAAGACGTCTCTACTGTGGTGGAATTAATTTTTCTTTGAAATCGGAGTTGAGATTCTTGGATTGCAGACTGAACGCTTAAGGCTGAAATACTCTTATTGGGTCAGGGGCAGCTTGGTGCTGAACACGTATGTGGCGATTATATTTCTATCTCAATATATTTGTATTCTAGACTGGATCATTTTCGTGTCTCCTGTTTTGAATTCTCTGTGGCCCATTTTGAATTCTTCATTATGAAAAAATACCCACAGCAAAGTGGTTGATGCCCTTCCACTATCTGACAAAGAAACCAGTCGCATGTGAATCCCAGGTGTGCTAAATTTGGCAGGCAAAAGGAAACAGGAATGGCTCAGGTTGAGAAGAATACTAAAAAGCCTGTTTGTTGTCTTGCAGTAACCCTGATTGACAGAGGCTGGTGGGGCTTGGTGCACAGGGTGACTGTAACACTAGAAAACTACCCAGATTGCAAGACCTCCTCTGCTATGAGACATTTCTCCCTTCCTTGCTTCAGTTGGCTTTCTATTGGTGACTCCTTCTCAGGACAGTTAATCTTGTTGGGATGCCAGAAAGGTTTGCTAGAACCTAGTTTAAAATCCCATGAGAACTCCTTGGAGAAAATGGGAGATTCAGGGCCAGAGTAGGGTCAGTACAAGGAGAGGACAGTACATCGTGTTGTGCTCAGACACTAAAACGTGGACACGTCAAATCTTGATGGGTTGCCATTGGCCAATCTCAGAAAATTTGAGCACCAAAAAGAATAATGATGACAATAGATTATAATTATATTGTATTTTAAAAAACAATCCATGAGTCTATAGTCCAGTCAAAAAAAAAAAAAAATCAGTTCAGACTAGGCATAGTGGCTCATGCCTATAATCCCAGCACTTTGGGAGGCCAAGGTGGGAGGATTGCTTGAGCTCAGGGTTTCAAGATCAGCCTGGGCAACATAGTGAGACCTTGCCTCTACAAAAATAAAAATAAAAAAATTAACTGGATGTGGAGGCACACACCTATGGTCTCAGCTACCGGGGAAGCTGAGGTGGAAGGTTTACCTGAGACTAGGAGGTCGAGGCTGCAGTGGGTCATGATCATGCCACTGCACTCCAGCATGGGTGACAGAGTGAGATTGCAACTCAAAAAAAAAAAAAAAAAAAAAAATAGGTACAAAGTGGGAGAAATAAATGCTTCTTTACATAACAATGCTAGTTAATAAATGTGGAAGAAATGACATAATTAGGAAAATGATAATGTTGAGATACTAATCTAATACTTGCTACGATGCGGCCCACTGGCAGATGTTATTTATTTATTTTTTTCACCTTTAAATTTTTTATTTTAAAATTGTGGGGTACAATTCAGGGTTAGGTATACAGATATTCGTTGTGCAAGTATCCTTGTTGATGAGGTATGCCCCCACTAGGGGATATTGAAAGTACTGGGTAAAATTTGTTGGGGAACAATCTATTCATGCTGTTTTCAAGCATCTCCTGGCCGATTGCTTATTAATTACAAGGTAATTACTTTGCCAAGGGGAGATATGGTAATGTGTCCAAGTAATCAAACTTGGCATCACCAACCACTGGACAACCTGACATTACACGCTTCTTCAGATGGCCACTGTGGTATGGCACAATAGATGGGTGATGATTGTCGAAATATTTGTTGAAATATTTAAGCTGACACCAATCATGAGAAGACAGTAGGACATGTTGGTGGTGCAGACTGTGGGACACAGTACAAGACAACTGGTCTGGACTTTGACAATGTCAATGCCATTCAGGACCAAAAAAGGTAGTGTGTTGGGGGCTGTCCTAGATTAAAGGAGACTAAATAGACAACTAAAAGCAAGGCATTATCTTTGATTAGATTGTAGACTCCTCCCTCCAGAAAAGAAGGATGAAATTATTACAAACATTTAGGGGATAATTGGATACAATTGAATAAGAACTGAATAAGAACTGTTTATTATGTAATATTATTTTACAGTGTTAATTTTTTAGATGTGGTATTGGTATTGTTATTGAGGAAAATGTCCTTACAAGATGTATACTAGATAGAATATTGAAGAATAAAATGTCATGATGTCTGCAGTTTCTTTTCACATGATTCAGAATAAAGTATAGATAGATGATAGATTGATTGATAGACGGGTAAAGCAAATGTAACCAAATACTAACAATTGTTGAAGGTGGAAGGAATATGGGTATTCATTGCACTCTTAAGTTTTCTGTAAATTTTAAAAATATTTAAATTAAAAAGTGGGTTGGAGAAATTCACAAAAATAGGAACAAAGTGGAAGGTGTATCATAATACTTGGTTACCTTTTTATTGTGAAATCACACTAGTCATTAGTTCACTGACATTACTTTTTTTGAAAGAGTGGGGGAAAGAGTTAAAATGATTATTTACAAAAATCTGTGGTGCTAGACAGGAAGAACTGATTGAATGATGCAACAAATAATTAAAAAAAAAAAAAACTACAATAAAATTGTAACCCAGTCCTCTCTCTAAGAGCATACGTCTGTATCTATTCACTTACTAGAAGTCTTGAGTAACAGGATTCTAGATAGAGACATGTTTGGCCTAACTAAAGAACTGGTTCAAAAACCCAAGTTATTACATGTTAATTAAAAATTTGAGTCTGGGCGTGGTGGCTCATGCCTGTAATCCCAGCACTTTGGGAGGCTGAGGTGAGAGGATAGCCTGAGCCCAGGGGTTCGAGAACAGCCTGGGCAACTTGGCAAGACCTTGGCTCTACAGTAAATCAAAAAATTAGCCAGACGTGGTGGCATGCACCTGCAGTTCCAGCTACTTGGAAGACTGAGGCAAAATGATTGCCTGAGCCCAGCAGGTCAAGGCTGCAGTAAGTCATGATCATGCCACTGCACTCCAGCCTGGGCGACAGAGTGAGATCCCTACTCAAAGACAAAAAATTGATTGGACTTACCGATAGCTACAGTGTCATTAAAATGAGCAATTGGAACCTTTTAATAATTCCAGATTTGACTTGGTAGTGAATTACCATATCACTGTAACTTATTGTTTCATGATACTAATTATCAGGTGAATGAATGCTTCAGATTTTTATGAAATGAGGTGGACCATACACAAAAACTAACAGCACAGCACACCAAAAAGAGCCCATTTCTTCCTGTGTTCCAAGTGCTCGCATTTGGCAGTTTCCCCAGTGCAGGGTCCTACCTGAAACGATGAAGGATTCTCTCCATCGTGGCAGGGACAAGGACTGGACGCCATTGGAATAACTCCCTCTGTAACCAGACTGTCCTGCAACTTTCCGAACAAGTATTTTCCCTCCTGAATTATCGAGTATGCCACTATGAAGAGAACAAAAATATTTTTTGAAGAAAGAACAAAAATGTTGTTTGACCTGATCAACAGACCATCAAACCAGTCTCCACCTTTATTTAGACACAGGAAAGCAGTGAGATCAGGAAGAGCTGACCTTGACCTGAAGCCCAGACCCCAAGAATGGTGCCTCTACCACTGGTTGGCACCTGACCTCCCCGGTCACATGTCCTCTTTCTTCTTATAGGACCCCATTGTTCTGTCAGTCGGGAATTGCTCTTCGCCACCACATGTCTGGAGTTTCTTTTCCTTGGTTTTCTCCTTCCCACTAGTTCTTTTAAGTAAAACCTCTTGATAATTTGCAGTTTGGTTTTGAGCAAGCACAGATTGAACACAGTTATTTCAAAGTGTGGCACAAAATTATTAAAAGTAAATGATTCCTTTTATTGTGAGCAGAGAATGAAGTCGTGCAGCTGAATTAAACTCATTAAAGAGTCCCCAGTCCCAGCACAGTGGCTCACGCCTGTAAATTCAGCACTTCGGGAGGTGGAGGCAGGAGGATTGCTTAAGCCCAGGGGTTCAAAACCAGCCTAAGCAACATGGCAAGACCTCATCTCTACAAAAAAAATTTTTTAATTAGCTGGGTGTGGTGGCATGCACCTGTTTTCTTAACTACTTGGGAGACTAAGGCAGAAGGATCACCTGAGCCCAGGAGGTCAAGGATGCAGTGAGCTGTGATTGTGGCACTGCACTCCAGCCTGTGCAACAGAGTAACACCCTGACTCCTGACTCAAAAAAAAAAAAAAAAAAAGTCCCCCAAACACTGAAAACTGTTTCTTTACTTTCTAGGATTTTGTAAGGTTTTAGATCCTGGTGGGATGGTGACGGACATGTTTTTCCTTCTATGTTAATCAGGTGGGAGCCCCATTGGGTCCTAGATATCATTTTTTACATTGTTGTTTCTTGCCCCAGAGCCTCACATGGCTCATTGAGTGTCCGTAATTTATGGCATATTTTAAAAATATGTCAGTTTGCTCCCCTCAACACCCGTCCTTCCCTCCTGCCTGCATAGTGAGCCAGCAACTTTCAATACTCTACTTCCCCGTGCCCCAAGGAAAGAAAGTGACCATAATACTTGACATGTAAAGCACTGAGTTGCTTTAAAATCATCCTTGTATATGACGTCTCTCTGGATCCTGCCAGCAAGTCCCTGAGTCGTGGAGGGGCAGGAATGCTGTTATTCCCATTCATTCCATAAAAACAGGCTGGGAGAGGTTGAGTGACTCACTTGAGATTTTGTAACTAGTGAGTCGCAAAAGGGATTTGAACCCAGAAACCTGCGTTCCAAGGTTTGTCCCTCTTACTCATAGCCACACCTCAGGGTTCCAAAGCACAGACATGCCGACCCAACCCCTTTGTATTCCTTCTCTTTTCTCGGGGCTTTCCTTAGGGAGTCTCCTCCCTTCTCTGGTCTCAGCTGCCTGGCAGGCATACCATGCCATTCCACTCACTTGACTGTGATTAGGCTGCTGTTCACTCTGGAAGACCTCGCTCCTGGCCTAGCCAGCACCTTCTTCCCTGCAGAGATCCTGACATGACTTTGCTAACTTCCACCTCCCAGCCCCTTTAGTGTTTGTGTTCTCACAACTAAGACTCTGATTTTGTTCCAACTTGTACTATTTCCTAAAAGTGTCTGGAGTTCATTTTGTCTCCCTGCTAAGTAGGAAAGTTTCTTCTGGAAAGGACAGTGTTTTACATTTCTGTGTGAGAAGACCTGTCAGTGGTCTGCAGGTACCACGTACTGGCTTGTGAGAGAATTATTGAGCTCTTAGGGTTGGGTGAGCTAGTTGACTAGACATTGATGGACTGGAATCAACCAAGGTGGAAGTATTTATACCATGGGAATTAGCAAATCAGGCCCATCCTCTTCTTATTGGAAAATTGGTTGTTAAACATTTACCAACATACCACTGATTCAGGCTGAAAATTCTTATTATAAAAAAAAAAATCTGGGCATGATGGTTCAAGTCTGTAATCCCAGCACTTTGGGAGGCTGAGATAAGGAAATTGCCTGAGCCATGGGTTTGAAAACAGCCTGGGCAACTTGGTAAGACCTCATCTCTACAATAAATTTAAAAATTAGCTCGGTGTGGTAGTGCCTGCAGTTCCAGCTACTTGGAAGGCTGAGATAAAAGGATCGCCTGAGCCCAACAGGTTGATGCTGGGATGACAGTGAGTATACCACTGTACTCCAGCCTGGGTGATGGAGACTCCAACTCAAAAAAAAAAAAAAAAAAGTGACTCCATGGTTGATTCACTATGGGAAAAAAGGAAATAACACTTACTCTTTCCTTTCCCCCCAGAGAATTTATTTTCTTTGGATTTATATCCTCTTATACTATGAACTGCTTTGGGGGAACAACTGTGTGCATATGTGAATGCTCTTTTTTTTTTTAGTTGGGGTCTGACTCTATTGCCCAGGCCGGAATGCAGTAGCACAACCATGGCTCACCACAGCCTCGACCTCCTGGGCTCAGGTGATCCTTCTACCTCAGCTCCCTGATAATCTGGGACTACAGGCATGTACCAACATGCCTGACTAATTTTTTGATTTTTTTGTAGAGATGAGGTCTCACCATATTGCCCAGGCTGATCTCACACTTCTGGGCTTAAGCAATCCTCCTACCTCAGCCTCTCAAAATGCTGGAATGACAGGCGTGAGCTACCACACCTGGCTGTGAATGTTCTTGTGTAAGAGTCTGAAGCGAACATATTCGTTATTCCTTTGGTTTGAAGGAATCAAGGGAATTGTTTGTATTATAATAAGACCTCTGGGCATGATATAGTAGCTGAATATTAAATCCTTTAACCCAAATTAATCTGAATTTCTAAATCAAAGTCTGCCCTCCCGAGTCTCCCAGTTCTGACAGGGGGGACTCTGGCAGGGGCATGGCTGTGGGTCCTGGAAGCCCTTTCTGCTCCTGTTCTCTGTCTTAACTCAATGAGGGAAGCACCTCTCCACCCCGTGCTGAGCTCCTCTAAGGCTGTTTTTAGGGAATGGGGGCAGGGAAGGGATTCCCAAGCTGGGTTCAGCTGCTGAGATCCCTTGTGAGGATGATGGACTGAAAACCCAGGCTCAGGGACAGGTACAGATGTAGAACTACCATGTTCTCAGGAGACATTCCTGTTGGGACAGAGAAGGACGCTTGCCTTGCGATGGCCTAACTGGAGGACATGGATATTTCTGGGGGCAGATCTGAGGAGATCAGTGGCCCCTATACCTCAGGAGGCATCAGCAGGGCAAGGAAGCCCAGGACACACGGCCGGCTTGGAGATCCTGGAGGAGGAGGGGCAAGGCAGGAAGAGGCTGCAGTTCCACTGATGAGACAGGGGGCTCAGAGCCACGCTGATTGGAGAATGCATGTCAACGAGATCTCATCACTTGTGTCACTCAGATGTAGGCACTTCACATATTCTCAGAAAGAGCAAAACCAGGTCACTTATTTGCATTCCTCAGATGCCCAGTACAATGCTAAACACGGCCTTGACATTCTCTTCCTCCCTGACCCTGGTGCCAGGGGACCAGGATAAGCTGAGGGTCTGTTCCTTGGCTCAGAGAGAGGGGACAGTTCACCATGAGGCTGAGTTTTGAATGGCTGCAGTTCTGAAGGTGGCCGAGACTGGCATGAAGACGACTCTGCATGGAGATGGTCTTCCCATTGACGTCTCAGAGAGTTCTCTCCTCTCCCTGTCACTTGGCCCCAGTGATGTTTGTTTTTTGTTTGTTTTTGAGATGGGGTCATGCTTTGTTGCCCAGGCTGAAGTGCAGTGGCGAAATCATAGCGTATTACAGCCTCAACTCCCTGGCCTCAAGTGATCTTCCCGCCTCAGTCACCCAAGCAGGAATAGCTGAAACTACAGGTGCATGTCACTATGCCAAGCTACTTAAAAAAAATTTCTTTTTTGGTAGAAACAGGGTCTTGCTATGTTGCCCAGGCTGGTCTCAAACTCAGCCTCAAGCAATCCTCCCGCCTCAGCCTCTCAAATCTCTGGAATTACAGGTGTGAGTCACAGCACCTGGCCAAGGTTCCGCTTTAAATACAGGGTTAGTTCAGGACACAGCTGAGTCAAAACACAATGCCTCAAGCATGTTTGTTATCCCTTTGGTTTGAAGGAATTAAGGGAATTGCTTGTATTATAATAAGACCTCTGGGCATGACATAGTAGCTGAATATTAAATCCTTTAACCCAAATTAATCTGAATTTCTAAATCAAAGTCTGCCCTCCTGAGTCTCCCAGTTCTGACAGCAGGGACTCCGGCAGGGGCATGGCTGTGGGTCCCCAAAGCCCTTTCTGCTTGTGTTCTCTGTCTTAACTCCTGCCTCCTGAAAACAGTCTAGCTCTGTTTGTGAAAAACAAAGCTGATAGCATCCAAAATTCTTGTGTTTTCCCTTAAGACTTCCAGTCATCCTCCCCATAAATAGTGTACCTCTTTCCAAGTCGTTTTTCCACTCTATCAGTTTCTGGCCCAGGAAGCCACAGCGGCGCTTGGTCTCTCAAGCAGCAAAGCTTGGTTTTTGAAACATCCAAGCTCCTCTCTCTCTCCTCATATGTATTTTTCCTACTCTCTAGCCCAAGTGCTGGGATGGCAGAGCCTGGTCCTGTCAATGCCCTTCTTCTTTTCTGTCCCCCAAGGGTGTGTCCCTTCACCATAAAGCCTTTCCCACCTCTGACTACTGTAAATTCTACACACCCCTTGAGTCCTTACTTTGTATACTAAGCAGTGCTGGGACTCCCCGGCTCTTATGTAAATATGTCACTTGGGATCTGGGCTGGAACTCAGGGCAGAAGTTTTACTCCTCAATGTGCCTCTAACTAGAAATTTAATTCGCTTTTCTACACCTCAGATTTTCTCTCTCTCTCTCTCTCTCTTTCTCTTTAACAGAGTCTTGCTCTGTTGTCCAGGCTGGAGTGTCGTGGTATGATCATAGCTCACTGCAGCCTTCAACTCCTGGGCTCAAATGATCCTCCTGCCTCAAATGATACTCCTCCTGAGTAGCTGGAACACAGGCACACTCCACCACACTTGAATAAATTTTTTTGTAGAGACGGTGTCTCACCATGTTGCCCAGGCTGGTCTTGAACTCATGGCCTCAAGCGATCCTCCCTCCCCAGCTTCCCAAAATGCTGGAATTATAGGTGTGAGCACCCAGCTCCATTTCTCTCCTAACAAATGGGAGCCTCATAGGGTTGAGATGCTGCTGGAAGGAACTGTAGTGTAAGAGTGACATCCTTGGTGAGATTACATTTAGTCTTGTGGCTCTAGCCTGCCTAGGAAATGTGGAAGGTCAAGGAGTGCCAGCAGCCACCTAGGATCCCAATTGGGGGATCCTAGGATCCCACCTAGGATCCCAACTGGGGGAAACACAGGCAGCCTTAAGACAAGCTTAGCCTCTGCAGCAGATGTCATGGTCTACACAGACATGGGAACATCCACACGGACACTGGCTGGAGAGTGTCAACTGCTGCTAGGATATATGGACATGCATGTGTATATGTAAGTACATATGGGAGATGTGCGTGTGTATGCACGCACACGTGTGTGTAGATTTGTATAACTTCCAACTTCTTTTTTGCATGAACTTGATTTCAGGGTGAGAGCAAAATACATAGTCCGGAGTTATGAAACAGCATTGGAGAATTTTTTTTTTTTAGTTGGAGTCTCACTCTTTCACCCAGACTGGAGTGCATCGGAGATTTTTACTTCAAAGTCTGGAGTTATAAAACAGCTTTCAGTGTCATTTTCCTTTAACATTCCACTACTTATGCTTTTTTTTTTTTTTTTTTTTGAGTCAGAGTCTCACTCTGTCACCCAGTCTGGAGTAAAGGGACACACTCATGGCCACCGCAGCCTCGACTTCCTGGGCTCAGATGATCCTTCCGCCTCAGCCTTCCAAGTAGCTGCAACTACAGGCATGTAACACCATGCTCAGCTAGTTTTTTTTTATTTATTGTAGAGACGAGATCTAGCCATATTGCCCAGACTTGGTCTCGAACTCGTGGGCTCAGGCAATCCTCTCACCTCAGCCTCCCAAAGTGCTGGAATCACAGGCATGAGCCACCTCACCTGTCTACCACAGCTTATCCTTAACAGAGCTCTACAGTCACACTTCCATGGAAAAGCCAGTTCATCCCTTCTCTGTGGTTGTGGGGGGAAGGGTCACATGATCAGTGAAATCTACTTGTAATTCTTAGACCTGATTGTAGGCATTGCTTTTTTCCTTGTTGTTTTCCCCCAATAGAGAGTCTACTGATGACACCTTGGAAGGGAATGAATTTTATATCTTTGTTCTCTTTGTCAGAGACACAACTGAACAATCAACCGATTTATGTGCAAATGAGGAGAAGGAAAACGATACCAGAAGCTTCCTCCCCAGCTGGTAGCCGGATGTGGAGCCATGCCCCGTAGCTTTGCTGGGCAGCAGTTAGGGGCACAGACACTGTAGTCAGCTGGACTTGGTCTGGGTCCTCATTTGGATCCTTTGTAATACTGTGGCTTTAGAAAAGCTGCCCAGCCGGGCTCGGTGGCTCAGCCTGTAATCCCACGCCTTTGGGAGGCTGAGGTGAG